ATATATCACAAACCCAATGGACGAATTCATCGAGTTTTTCTGGTAACTTATCTAGGCAATATCTGCAGAGGAAGCAAATGGTAAAGCAAACGAAAAACATTTAACTCTCAGACTGATCCACCTCCAACACAAAAACCAAAAATCATGAAAATCAAGCGTATGGTTGTACATTTTTATATTAAGAAGAAACGTGACTGTTATCTTTAATGAAATTAAATAGTCAGGCCAAAAATCATGATAAGTAATGTGCAGTAGTAGTGAAGCAATTATGTTTTGAATTTTAAAGTATGACAATTCTGCTGCACTATACTTGTTTGATCAACTTCTCTGTTTTGCAGGGTGTTTGAATGCATAGATGCACACAGCAGGTAATGTCTCTGTGTTTGTTTTGGCGTACAAAATTTTTTTTTTTTTGGGGTGTTGGGGGGGGGGGGGGGGTATTTATACCCAAATAGGTGCAGAAATCATGGAAGACTAGAGGTACCAATTCAACATACCTGTGAATAAAATATTTCTGACACTTCACACATTCATTCAATGCACTAGAAAATCCTTTGTCACCACATTGCAGGCAAACTCTCACCTGCAACACCAAGCAAACAGATTGTAGCATCATATAGACAGCCAAATAACATGAGCTTAAGGCCATTGGGCCTGCAAACACCATCAAATTTGATAAAACAGCAATTATCCAAGAATATCTGTTGGATATCCATTATGCCACTAAGAAGAAAATATTTGGCAGGGGATAACGCTTACCCTTTGAAGGAGGTCAGACAAGGGCACAATTAGAGTAAACTCAGACATACAAAAAGGTACATAATTCTTCCCCAAAACCAGACACCTTGAGCAAACAAATGAAACTCGTTTTTGCAGAAGAAAGATAATTGTGAGAACTCTATAGATTATTGCAACGCAAGAGTATGAGCAAGCATTCTAAACCAAAAGCTGTTCAAGCATCTAAGGTGGCATGTTCATTCAGCAAATGATATACTACAAAAGAATGTTTGAGTGCCATTCAGAACATGAATATTAACTTAGAACTTCGATAACAACTTGGTTTGAGTTCTCATAATTACCCACCATATGTGTCAACTACTAAGAAATCAAATTACTGAAAGAAGTAGAAAAAGGAAGTTTCATCAACTTCTATTGTTTCACAGTCAGGTCAGAAAAGACCAGCACATATATGAATGCCAAAATATTACAGCATGCCACGGAAAAAGTTGGCATATATCATGAGTTCCTCAGCAATGGATGATACCAGCATTAATTCTGATCTTAGGTAGGTTATCAACAAGAAGAATGTTGCACTGTGCAGTAAACTTGTCAAATCCTCAGAATATTGTTACTTCCCCAAAAAATCTGCCAAATATGGCTGTGTGGAACTCGCGTACTAAAGTATGCCCGTCGCGCCATGTAGGCATGACGGGAGGTCAATATTTAAAAAAAATAATAAAAAAAAAAGACAAAGGACCATCGGCCCTACATTGCGTGACGGCTGACACCTTTGAAAAAAAATATGGCCTGTTGCGCCATGGGCCTGACACCTTTGGAAAAAAAAAAGGACCATTTCTATGTAGCCATTCATTGGAAGATTCATCAACGGCTACCTAGAAATGGTCTTTTTTTTTTTTCCAAAGGTGTCAGGCCCGTTGCGCCAACATATTTTTTTCGAAAAGCTGTCAGCTGCGACGAAGCTGTCAGCCGTCACGCCACCATGGCGCAACGGCCTGACAGATTTTTAAAAAAAAATTAAAACTGGGCCGTCACGCCATGTAGGACCGATGGCCCTGTCTTTTTTTTTTAAAAAAAAATCTCGACCTCCCGTCACGCCATGCATACTTTAATACACGAGTTCCACACAACCATATTGGGCAGATTTTTTTTTGGAAGGACAAATATTCTGAGGATTTGCCCAGTAAACTTGGTAAACAGAATTAAGTAAAAAAGAACAATAACGCCATTAAATATGTCTGCTGATGAATCTACAACATGTACAAGAAGTACTTTCACTTTGTATGGAACAAACCATTCCATCTTCAGAATTTGAAAAACACAGAGTAGACTAAACATCAAAAGAAGAAGCCCTAGGATCTGATACATCTCCATAGTACAGTCAGGTCAGTCTTACCGAATCACAACATGAACTCCAATAAACAAACCTATCAGATGATCAGAAACATGTTCTTTGATTACCTTTTTATCTTCTCAGCATTACACCTTGTGAAAAGGGAATGCCTTTCATACTTTAGAAAGAAAGGACTCCTACAGCATCATATCCATTTTATCAACAAACTAAAATTATTCATCCGTCCTTATCCTGATGGTGCACGGATAATTATGACCCTCTTCAGCAACTCTCCTCAAAACCAAAAACAACTCCACAGCGACACATATGCCAACCGCACTATGTTCTCTATATTCATTTTCCCTACTAATCATATTGCCATAGACACTTATAAATTTGCTCATTAAATAACCAAACAGATAACGAAAAGGGACTGCATAGTTACAAAATTTCCCAGATAATTGGACCCCCAATTCCAAAACTTTCCCGGGCCTCAAATGGAAGAAAAAAAAATGAAACTTTAGAAGTAATTCCTTCCTACAAAAGGATGAATCCCGGAACCAAATTATCAAATCAGCATTCAATGAACAGAAACTTAAAGATTACTCCTTTAGAAAAAAAGGATTATTATCTGCATGCAACAAGATATACTACATTTCATGTTTGGACTATGTCCAATTACACGCATCAAGTACAACAGAAATTCGCTAAAAAAAAATATACACATTCAACAAAATATGGAAGAAAAAACTACCATGGTGGGATAATTTGAAGAGCCCGGGAAGAAACCAATCAAAGCTAACGAATTTCAGGAAAATCCCATCACAGACCTCATTTCAACAGCCAAACTAGAAGAGCCCTAATAGTGAAATTCTGTTCTTTGAAAGAGTAAAACCTCAAGGCCCTCTTTGGATTGGCAAAGAATACTAGTAAAAAAGACAATCAAATCAGTGAAAAATTTGTCAGGGCTTTTTCCTGCGACTGATTAGTGACAATTCAAGTAAGGCATTAATGGGAAATGGGGATTTTGAGGAGCACTATTTTCTTTTTTTCCCCCACTTTCTTTTTCGAATTTTTCAGCAACCCTGTATAAAATATAAATAGCGCCAACAGAATAGAACAGAGGAGTGTAAATTCCGGAGAGTACAGGTACTGAGCGGCAAGAAAATGGAACTCAGGCTGGCGTTGGTGCTTCACGCGCTGGCTGCCCGGGTAAATTTTTGAGGTTTTCGTTTCTATTGATGTTTTGGGGGTATTTGGTTTGTTAATTTTTGGATTTTTAATGATTTTCATGCTGTAAATTTGATAATACTTGATCAAATTAACTAACAAAAGTTAATATATAAACTCAAGATTTGATAACCCTGTAAACTTAATATATGAATGCTAACAAAAGTTAGAAAAAATAAAGACAAGAAGCTCAAATAGGAAAATGTATTACTCTTTAGGGAAATCAGAAATGTCATTTGCATTCCGTTTTTTGTTATTTATACTCTCACCATTTGTTTTATCACATAGTCTAATAAATAAAAATTTTATGATTAAAACGATAATAAAAGTGTGATTAACAAAATTGGAAGGACAAATAACATTTCCGTGTTCTTTATTATCTTTATCTCATCAGGTACATCTCTTCAATACTTACAAATGAGGTTTCAATGATCTCTGTTAATGGGGAAGTTTATATCCTTTGAAGTGTTATGAATTTATTGATGAATCATTAGTGGAGATGAATGTATTAATTAATTTATTTAGAGGGATGAATGTACATCCGTATTCCATTAATTTCATAACATATACACTAAATAGACTCAAAAAAAAAAAACCTTCTTGCTTTTATCATGCATCTTCCTTTAATTGATAAATTAAAGTGAATTTTTCAATTTAAAAATGTTTAAATAAAAAATCTTCTAGCATTGTTATCAAAACAATAAAAAAAAACACTTGCTTTTATTATTTCTTGTATAAGAAATTGCACATATAACTTTTATCATGTATCCTACATGAATTAGCAACCAAATGCAAAGGCATGACTTCACTGTTGTATCACAAATTATTACCATTGAAAATTCTCCTCTTGCTACAAATATTTCAATTATTTTGACTGGAGTGAATTTCAATCTCCCACTTACTTTCCAATGAGAAAGAAATGATTTCACTGACAGTGTGTATAAAATTAATTCTTAGATGGTTTTCGTTTATTATACCTCAATCAGAAAGCAAAAGTAAGGGAATTTCTTTCCCATTAGGAAGTAGTAAATAAGTAGGAGATTAAAATTCATTCTATAAGATGAACTCTTAACTTTTAAGTTTTATCTACCTTAACATCTTAAATTTTCTGTATTCCCTCTAACTGAAAATGTATCAATCATTTATCTTTCACAGTTAACTGTGATTAGAGTTCAAATGCAGCAAAATATCTCTTGCCACATTTTCTTGTTCCTTTATCCATTCTCTATTCTGGTTTGGGCATTGGCTTTTATGGATGGAAAGAACAATTGCAATGACATTATTCTTTCTAAGCTTTGGTCCAAATTATCTTACAGCTTTCCGTGAAGTAAATTTTCACCTCATCATTATATCCAACAAAGAAGTGGCCACCAACCACCAAGTAATAGTTTGAGGATTAATTTTACCGGTGCTGTTTTCATCAAACACTTGAGTTTATGGTGACAATCAAGTGCAATTAGGTTGATAAGATGCTTTACTTGTAATCATATATATAAACAAGTGATCACGGATTCGAATCATCCAGACGTAAGTGGGAATCACTAGTAATCTTCCTTATTATGAAAAAGATTCTAAAATAATAATAATAACCAAGTTTATGAAGGTTGTCGTTCGCATTAGTGATGGATTATTCATGGATGCTCTTGCTAAAAAAAAAAACTATGGGAAGAAGGCATTCTACTTTCACACAAAACAGAAAGGGCAGTGAAAATAATCAAATGTGATTACCAGGAGGGGAAGGCCTAAAGCCTTACCTCAATAATTACATAAAAGATCAAGTCCTAATGTGAGTGCATCACACTTTATCTAATCTAAAACAACATTAGCTAATGCAAAGAAAAAGGCTTACCATAGAAATGATTACAAGTTGAGAAGCATCCTACATTAGACATAATATCCGCGGACTGACTACATTGAATGATTAAACAAGAAACTAATACCCTCTACCTTTCTAGCAGCTGAACCTATGTTGAACAAGTGAAAGGTTTGCTTTTCCTGTCCAGACTATTCCGAAGGGCTCTGAGAACCATTCTCAACAGTCAACATAAACATCAACCAGGTTATGAGAGATTAATTTTAGGCCTTCCATATGCTGGTCTGCAGCATTTACTCTCGAAGCGCCACCATCGTTCACTTGCAAAAGGGAGCTTGGAGAAGGAAACAGGATGTAGACAGAACATTTGGAGGACCAGGATGATGAAGCTTAGTCCCTAAACCTGCAGCAAGCAATTCATCTTCTATGAACAAAAGCAAAGCCAGGAGAGGTTTTATGTAGAAAGGGAACAACTTCTGCAAGGAAAGAAACCTTCAAAACTATCATTTTCATCTCCAAAGTCGAGGCACTGACAAGTCTGACATATATCCAGAGGACACGGAGCAACCGAGCATATACGAAAATGCCATCGTAAGGTGGTAAATGAAGACCTTTTAAGTTAGCAACGGAATTGACAAAAGCAGTAAGCTCATTCATGAAATACTAAATAGATTATCACTGCTCACTAGCACAACACACTAGTGAATTATAGAAGAAACAAGCAGCAAACAGCAACGGCTTTAGTTAATGAAAGAGAAAATCAACAGCAACCAGCAGAAGGAAATAGCAGAGAAAAGCACCAGGAAAATAATTGAGGATTGTGCTCAAGTCCGTAGCTCAAAAAATTTCTAGCTTTGGTGAATAGTAGATTATAGGCCATTCAGATTGTCTTTAAGTGGGTAACTAGCTATTGCATGGAAGAAGAGAGCGCCATTTGAATTTCTGTTTCTCCTCTTTAGAACCCTAAAATGCAACACAAACAAGAGTATGGGAACTAGGTGGTCACTAACTTGGTGCAAAATACCCACAGCATTCCAATTTCAGAGGTCAATCTTTTCTCCATAACAATGAATAGAATAGTTTGCCATTTGTGAAATGATAGGAACCTGTAAAATAAAGTAGATAAGCCTTAGAACTTAATACATCATATTACAACTAGACCTCACCTCTGGACTTTCATTCTTGCACTTAGATGTCGTTTCGCAGTTAGAAGCCAAGACAGTGGGAACCAAGAAGGATTCTCTCGTAGACACTTTTGAGCAATCATTTGAAAGTTTAAGCCAGGAAGAAGCACCATTTATCGACCTTGCAGCGCCAACTGTTCCCAAAGGGAGTCTATCTCTCATATTTCTGTTCCGAATCTCAGCAAACCATTCAGCCAATGGCATCTCTTCGACACATTCATAGTTGCTATCTGATTTCTCCAGTCCCCTTGGGATTATGCATTCTTTTGTTGAATTTTCAGAATTCTCCTCATACACAGTCTTGCAACCTTCATCCATGGGGCCACTTTTATCAGTGACCTCTTTCCTTTCTGTTGGAGAATCTATCACATGCTGAGATGCTTCATCATTGCAACTTGACTTACTATTCCTGAAATTGTAAAGAAGAAAAGTCCTGTTATTGTTTTGAGACCCCCATTATATTTCCCAAAACAAAGTGAGTACCATTTAAACCACCTATTACCTAATGAACAAAATTCAGAGATGGGAGGCAAATTATGTTCTCAAAGTCATTAGGAAGCTTATATATATCAGTCCAACCAAAAATTTTTTACTTCATGCACTTTGGTAACAGTTAAGATGAGCATAACAATGTTAAACCCTAATTTTCACTCTTCTCCTTTTTGTTCTTTAATCATGCCTAATTTTGCAACTCTCCTCAGTTTCAAAAAATGCCACATATTTATATATGTATATTAGTCCCCTAAACCTAAGTACCTACGTAGCATATGAAACTCAAATCTGCAACACTAAAAAGAATGTCCTTGAGCAAGTCATGGTTTAACATAACTATCTCAGTGTTCACCTGTGAAAACAAATAAATAATCAAAACTGCTACCACTTATATTATGAAATCAAGAATCCATAACTTTAAGGGCAGAAACCATAAAAATGGATCCGGAAGACAGAAATATAATTGTCCCCACACTTTCTTTCACACCCAGGGTATCATTTAGTCCGAGTACAAAGAAAAAAAATGAGGAATACTCTTAACCAGGCAGTCCCAGCTAGACACTTGGGGTGGTTTTACCAACTCACCACCCACTAAATTGATCTATGACCCCAAAGTAAGTGACATGCTCTACAGCAAAAATTCCCAGTACCAACAACCAAGTTAATTCACTTCTAAGAGATTGAATTATTCTTGTAAATATAAAGCATCCAACATAAGCAAGCACCCGGCTGCAAAAGAATAGAGCAAAAGAAAGCAGAAGATGACCTTAGAAAAGACAAAATTTAAAGCGCCTATTTTCTGCCTTTTCTTTAATTCTTTTTTTTTTGGGTAGAACCGTAAAATATGCTACTCAGCTGAAGAGCCAAAATCTATTACCAAATGATGTCAACAGGAACACTATTCTTTTCATTTGGAGCTAAAAGTAGTTGGATGTCTCACAACTTACTCATGCACGACTTGACTTTCAACAGAGGAAAGCAGAGGACTAGAACTCCCTTTCTCACCATGCTCCGGAAAGCTTGTCACCTGCAATGACAAAAAGTATTGGAACGTACTTGAGGTACTAAATTCTATGAGGTTTTAAACGTCAACAGAAATTTTGTGATTACTACAAGGGAAAGACAGTTGTGGAAATAGTTCTCAGATTTAATGGATCCTAACCAAGATGACTCAGGGAACATGGTATAAAGAGCACAAGACAGTTTTACAAAGGCAATCTCATCCCACTCTGCCAGAACTTAGATTCATTGGCAGCATACAGCTATAAATTACAGAACTTTTTCCAATAGATTCATTGGCAACCCACAGCTATAAATTACAGAGCTTTTCCAATTGTTTATCCTTTCAAATATATTCCAACCCATGTGGTTTAGAGAACAAGCTTCTCATATTAGGCTCACAAGATGGATCATGCATATACTAACAGCCTTTGTGTTAACAAGTCAAATACCACATATAAAAAGTGTATATATTTCATCTCACAAATTTAATCAGTTAAATGTACGGCAAGTAAGAATTGTACCAATAAATGTGTGTGTGCCTCTGTGTGTGTGTGAGAGAGAGAGGAGAGAGAGAGAGTCATTGTAGCACAGGTAATTAATGGAAAGAAACCAACAAAGAGCATTTAGACAATTTTTAAAAAATCGATTTACAATGATGCCATAACATGCATAAGAATTGGTTGAAATTGCCCTTTAAGCAGTTTATTTTTTAGTATGCAAAAGACTGATAAATAGAAACTTGATGCATCATCTCATTTACACCGTTCTATGTTCTCTCTCTTCCTCTATTTCAATCATTTTCGTCTTCTCTATCTCTTTTAGAAAATACCTAAGGTATACTCCAAATCCCAAATTGGCTGTTGTCACAAATCAATCCTGGTAAGATTTCATGCAGGAAAAACTTCATCTCTGGCATAAAAAGGTAGAATATCTGGAACTTTTAGTTCTAAAAATCAAAGTCCAGGCTCACAAAAGATTATTATTCAGTAAAACTAGTATGTCAGATTTTCATGCATGATCACCATCGATATCTATCTATACAATATATAAAGTCAGAGGGATAGCAGTTGGTGTAAACTTTTTTTTTTTTTTGGTCATTTTTTGAACTTCCAATTTTATCCTTATAGAAACTAATTTCTACCTTAATTAACTAATTACATTTTGCCAAAATAACTACTCATAACCACCCTAAGTATTGTAATTACCAATTACTATAACCTTATAAATCAAAGTTCTTTAATAAATTCATATAAATTGTATTTATGTGAAAAACAAAATTTATATAATATTAATTCATTTTAATTATTTTTAAATTGAACACACATTGACTGTGTCCCTAAAACTAGCTTTTTTAAAGTATATACATTTAGAAAGTTATATAGATCAGATTACTCTGCAAAGTATCAAATCAGATCATAAATAAATAACATATCACAAGCTTAGCCCCTGTTTCTCAAAATGAAAGTTTTAATACTTAAAAAGCCGTGTTGAATACTCATCTCAAAGTTTTAATTACGAAAAAAGGATAAACTAGTATACATTAGTGTAGAAAAAGAGTAACACCTGTATGCCATTCCAACCTTCCACTCAGTTGGGCACAATATGACTTGCCAATGCAAAAAAGACTACCAAATAGTCAGGTAGTTTACAGAACCTAGAATGAACGAATAACTAAAGAGTTAAAGCTTATTAAACATAGCAAGAATGCAGGTAGATAGATCCTTGTTTTCTTACACTTTCTGCATAAAAAGAGTATGAGTTAGTCTTTGGTTTAACTTATCAGATTCTACACACTCCATGGGGCAGCCATCTGGATAAATGGGAAACAAAAAGAAGGGAAGCTTACCCATTTACTTATCAGACAACACCATCCAATGTTTACGGCCAAATGAATGACAAAGAACAGTTATGAAAGTTAAAAAGGGAAACCGAATATCCCTGCGCTGATGATATCACAATAACAATTTAACTACATAAAACTCAAAGGAATAGAGAAGCATACACGTGGAAATTTATTCATTATACCAGGCAACTTCCAATCTTTGATATCAGTAACTCAAGCTTGAAGGATCCATAAATCTTCTTCTTTCAATGAGTCAATAAACTTTCTAAAGCATTTGCTCCCATAATCAGTACCAATATAAAACAACATATTAACAAGTAACTTGATCTTAGAAGTTAAAACAGTACAAACTTCTAGAATGTCATATATTTACCTCCATAATAAGTGTTAAAAGGTAAAATTATACAAATTACAAATGATTCCACACAAAAGGCAGCACAAGTCTAGCAAAAAAGACATGTATACTCCCTCATGATGGATCTCATGTCTGGTAATTTGCCGATACACCTATGGTATTTGGGACCTTGCACAGTAGGGGCACAAAGATAGATCCCCTAGATAACATCAGGGCAATAACATAGATCCAAGATCTAAAAGCTGGGCACTTACAATCCAGGTCGACAACCAAAGTCAATAGCGAAATAAAAGTAGCAATAGAAATTTTCTACTTAACCATTCTACATATGTTCATCTCTTATCCTTCCAGATATAATACAACATTGAAAAATTGAACACGAAAAAAGTGTTGTGAAGCAAGAAGATACAGATTCACTTGCAATGTTCCAATTATCTTTCCCAAGGCGCAATTCTCTGGCTCAATGTCAGTGTGAGTAAACTATATACCTTGTTGAGCTAGTTTTTTCTTCTCAGAGTGAAAAAGAAGAGCATATTAAAAATTTGGATGATCACAACTAACTGGAAAGCAGTTTTTGAGCAACATTTAGTTATGGAATCGTAATCACAAGAAACAAGTCATGCATGCATCCTTTGACTGCCTCTATCCAGACATTTCTATCCCTATTCAAGTAAATGCCATAAAAGAAGACAATCATAGAGTTGGATGATGATTACAGAGTTCAAGAAAAATCAAAAGAATCCCATTAGGAACAGCAGAAATTATAAAACTTGACAAAGAGGTGAAATTTTTATTCAGGGTTTGTTTGAAACAATTAAAAAGGTACTTGTTGCTGAATTTAAAGCTAAGATTATCAAACCAAACAGAACATTTTGTTTCTACTTTTCAGAGATCTAATGAACAACAGCACAAAGAACAAGGCAGGATGGCAACAGCAAATAAGGCAAAGCATAATACAGGAAGCTAACTATTTAATTCTCCGTCAGTATATACTTCTTCCAAAAGAAAAAAAATGTTCCTTTTCCTAGTATGAAATTATTGATTTACCAAAAGTTTTCACCATTACCATTTCTTCCTTGCCAGCAAAGCTGGGAACGCTTGCACTATGATAACTTGTTTCAGACGTCACTTTCGAATCCTCAGCCTTGGCAAACTCTGCATGGGAAGTGGTTAGAGTGGACTCTGGTATCGACATTGTCAACTCCAAAGAAGGTTCAGTAGAAGCCTCTTTTACTACGTTATAGTTTGGGAGGTTGAGCTGTGCAGAAGGACCATACATTACTCTTGCGGCTTTATCATATGCCAGGGCAGCTTCAATTGCAGTACCAAATGTACCCAACCAAAGTCTACTACCCTTTTTGGGTTCCCGTATTTCAGCAACCCATTTACCCCATGTCCTCTGCCTGACACCTCTATAATTATGACGAGAGTTCTCAGGACCTCCTTTACCTTTCATACATCCCTTTTTTGATCCTCTCCCTGGAGCTTTACGCACCAGCTTACCATTGATAGATTCAATTTTATCAAAGTACTCTTTCCACTTGTTAAGAGTCTCAGCCACATGTTTTGATGCATCACTCCGGCGCTTGGAATTCTTTCTTCCAAAAGGGCCCAGCGTCAAAGAAGTCTCATCAGAAGCTGGTTTAAGTGGACTCATTCTTTTTTATCATGACAAAGAAGAGTTCCACTATAACTCACTGTGAAAAGTAAAAGGTGAGATCTCAAATTCTCTCATTTTTGACAAGATTAACATGCAGAAACAAATACACACACATACATAAATAAATATACACATACTATACATAAGAACAAAGCTTCGGCTGATTACTTTGCATAATTCCATGTATCCAAAAAGAAGATCTATAAGAAAACTTTACAACTCCTCACAGGTCATCAAACTGCTATGCATGGAAAAACCATGGTCGAATGGAAATAAAACCTTCAAGTAAACTTGCCGCTGACTAATAATCACTAACACCAACTATTTTCTGATAATTATCATCAAATTTCCGAAACTATTAGTTCAGGTTGTGATCACCAAGCTTCTTATCCCTTCAAACTAAATAAAACAGTTAATCGGTAATTTGCAAGTTAGTTAGCTAAACAAACACGGCTACTAGTTTCTTTTATACAAGTATTCTCTCAAACAGTCCAAGATGCGTTTATTTCAGCACAAATTCTCCATATCTAGTACCTCTTTTGAATCCTTCCAATTTCTTGTAATCCATCCCCTTACAAAGATTTTCTTTCAAGGAGTACATATGTTTACCCACAGTTAAACCAATTCTTCTTATCCTTCCCCATTCATTAGATTTTTTGGCCAAATATGAAAAAAAAAGTCTTTTCCAATTGATTAAGTAAAAAAAGGAAAAAACAAAAGTTGAATCTGAATATCAATACATAAACATTGAACTAACAATTATAATTCCTAATTGTGCTGATATCAAAGCAGAATACTAAAGTAAGCACTACAACCAAAATAAGCAGACCCCAGAAATAAAGGAAACGAAAGAACAAAACCAAATTAATACTAGTCTCTCGTTTAAATTCAAAGTTAACAAAAACCCATCTCATAAGCTGCAAGAAACATAAAATTAACGGCATGCAAACAAAACCCACAACCCAGAAATAAATATTTACACTTTAATTAACTTGTTCTATCATAAGCAGTTATACAAAACCGACAAGAGTTTGAGGGAAAATAATTAAAGCATCCTTTTTTGCATCATGAAAACAAAAGAATTCATGCTGGGGTTTAACTGAATTTACCTCTGAGAATTATTGCATGAGAGCAAAAATTCTATTTTTTTCCCCCTTAGCAAATTCTCTCTTTCCCTGTTTTGGTGTGTGTTTTTGGGGGAGAGAGAATGTGTGTTTATGTGTGTGAATGTGACAATTGTTTTCTTCGGTTAAAGTGGCTCTGGACGAGGGAAATTTGCAGTTGTTAGTCCTTCTTGTTTTCGATTAGTTTCGGTTTAGTCCCTCATTTTCCTAGTTTGGCGCATTCAGTCGTTCAAGTTTTGGATAATTATTGATATAATTTTTAAGGGGTGAGCGTCAAATACTTATTCTAATATGCGGAACAATAATTACTAACAAATAAGTTATGTTTGATTTTTAAAATTTTTTATTCATGAATTTTGCACTAATGAAATATTTTTTAGAATATTTTATAGTACACAAAAAGTTTAAGTAGTTTTATAAATGACTACAGTGTTGAAATTAGGACATGAATGAAGTTATAAGCACAATTGAATCCATATTCGTATAAATCAAGTATTCCAATTATTATTGGAAAAATTGAAATAGATTTGATAATATTAAGCTTAAAAATTGAGAACCTTTCACTCACTAACTGAAAGTACTTGATGATTTAAAAAAAATTATTTCTTTTAATCCCTTATTCTAAGTTAATTTTATCTAATAGTTAGAGATAATTGAGCAAATATCACTACATATTATGCCATAATTGATTTACTCGCCAAAATTTGAACCCATGGACGAGAGAATCCAACTTAATCCAAGTGCATAGCTAAACTTTTCATGGAGTGACAAATCAATATTGGATTAATCTATTCATAATTTTTTTCTAAGTGAAAATGCAATAACTTGAACTACCCTTTGGATACTAACATTACTTTAGCTTTTTATATTTTAGCTAAGTACATTTTACTCTTATATGTATATTGTATTTATCTCATCTTTAGTTTCTCACATTTAAATTTTCGTAAAAATTCTCTCAAATGTTATGTCGCTAGATATTTCAATATATTCCTACAAATAAAGCAATCTTGTAAAAATAAGGAACTAATTGTGCTAAAATTCAACTGCAAAGGTGCAAAATTCTACACCACCAAAACATAAGCAGCTACAATTTTCTAACACTGACATACAGGGGGCTAAATCCGTTTAAAGTGAAATAGAGAGGACAAAACAAAACTAACAGTAAATATAAGGGACCATCATGAAAATTGGTCTTGGTCGACCCCACCTACTCATCAGAAAGTCGGTGGATAGCGGTGGTTTTTTTGGAGGGTAAAGCTCACTACTGTTTTAAGTTCGTCATCTTCAATGCACTATTCCAACTTGCCAACTATATCACATTTTCCTTGAAAATAAAAAAAAATAAATATGTCGCACAAAAATTGTATAAATATAGAAAATAAAAGAGCACCACCAATTCATAATCATTTTTGAATATTACAAAGAGAATTTTATTCATAAATTCACTCTGCAATATTTTGCATCAAATTTTCCATAAGTTTCAATGAATATTGACTTATATTTTGTGTGGTAGGAAAATTAATACACGTGCAAAATTTTTGTCTAACGAGCCTTCTTGAGAAAACATAAACTAGCATATGATACATTTTAGATGAGAAATATAAGCATAGTGTTCAAATAAATATTAATCGCACCTCACTTTTTGTAAATCACACTCTTATCATTTATTTTATTGTATATTTAATACATGAAAACCATATGATAAAAATAATATTGTGAATGCGATTAACAAAAAGTACAGTGCGATTAACATTTTTAATAATTTATTATGACTTATAAAAAATAGTTACAAAAAATAGGGGAATCTTGCGGATTTGTAAAAAGTTGTGAATAATTCATCGGTATGTGAAATATATACAATTTCAAGGATGATAATACCGAGGTGATCAATTGATTATGGCCACTTTATGAGAGAGTCTAAACTTCAGTTGATATAGTTGCAATCACAATCTTTCTTTTTTTAATGTATACATAAGTTGGGTAATAAAATTTTTCACATAGAAATGATGTGACATAAAGTGCCATATGCCTATATGGATAAGGTGGGGTAATTTATCTAGCTACTCATTAATTTGAAGAAGGGAAACAAGAAAATTACAAAAATCAAAAGAATCAAGTCTAGAGCCAAAACATGAGAAATGTCATCATTACACATGGTCTTCAATATATCCCTCCCATGTAGTCTTGCTTCAAGGGCTTTGATTAGTCTTGATTTCACCATACATCTTCACAGGGCATACAAAAATGGCATCCAAGATCTGTCTTGATGCCAAAACACAAGGCAGAGAGCAGCAATGAAGAGAAAAAGGAACTAAAATTGGACCTATCAGATTATGACAATGCTTCCAGCAGACTATTGTAGCTGATTGTTTCAATATCTTGCTCTTCTTTGCTTTGTTGGTTGACTATGTAGGATGCCTAATAACGAACGGCAAACTAGTTGCAGATTCATTACAGCCACCTATATCCACAGCATATGGTATTTCATTTCTCCCCATGTATTAAACAACTTACTGACATAAGAAGTTCAGGAACCAGACTGTTGAAAGTCTGACCAAAAGCCTATTCAAGTGTTTGTGACAAAGTACGCAAATTGACATACTTGACTAAACTAGAAGATGTCCATTAGTATCTATGCAAAGAGATTAATTGTTGCATCGTCCAGAGGAGATAGAAAATCACAAAGGTTCTATTCAACAGGGAAGTGAAGGTAAGTGAGTAATCTCAAATGTACCAAACACAACATAAACTAAATTTTCTGACTTCAGATTTGTAGTTTCCTCAGATTTTCTGACTTCAGATTTTACGCGTGAAAGTAGAAGCAATGCGTAGAGCATATCTGCTTGCGAAATATCTGTACATCTCTCTAGCATTTGAAGGAATGCTTTTGGCGCTAGTTCCTGCTGAATTGAGTTCTAGGGGTGGACCATGGTGTGTTGTCATCTGCTTCTTCACCAATGCTCATTATGTCTTCAAGTATTCCCTCTGGAAGAACAGATTGAATCCTAACTGTTGGTTTCCTTGGTGGCAAAGAAGGGATTGGAACTTCCCCTTGAAGCATCCGTGCAGCTTCCCTCATGGTAGGCCTCTTCTGATGATCAGGGTGCGTGCAGCAAAGTCCAACCATGAGCATCCTTCCCATTACTTTCCTGTTAAAGCACCTCTTCAGTTTAGGATCAGCAGCCTCAATTAATTTTCCTTTCCCCCACAATTCCCAAACCCAATCAGTAATCACAATTCTGTTGTCATCGACAGGCCTCCTACCTGATGCGACTTCCAGTACCACGACACCAAAGCTGTAAACATCAGTTTTCACTGTTGGAACTCCAGAAAAGACATACTCGGGAGCAAGATATCCCATTGTTCCAGCTGGTACAGTAGCATCTCGTATTTCGAGACTACGTTGATACACTGCTGCTAAACCAAAATCTCCAAGCTTGGCATTGAACTCAGCATCAAGCATTATATTACAGGCCTTAACATCCCTGTGGATTATCTGATTAATGCACTCTTCATGCAGATATACCAGAGCAGAGGCCACACCAAGTACTATGTTTGATCTTCGCTCCCATGTCAGGAACTTTGTAACACTGCTCCGGCCATGTAGGATCTTATCCAGACTTCCATTAGGCATGTACTCATAAACCAGGACTAACTCATTCCTCTCACAGCACCATCCCTTGAGCTGAACTAAGTTCTTGTGTCTCAAGCAGCCAATCATTGTAGCAAATTCATTGTCAAAAGGAATACGCCAGGCCTCATCAAATGAATTGTGTGAAGGGCCTATGCTTTTCCCACGAGTAAATCTCTTAATTGCTACATTTCCACAGGAAGGAATTTCTCCTTCATATACAACTGCTGAGGCACCTTCACCAATAATTCTGTCCTCTTTGAACCCCTTTGTAGCTTCCTTTATCTCACTCAGTGACAAGTATTTTGGTACTTTATAGCTCTGAAATCTGCCAATATGATATTCAATGTGCCGCTCTCTCTTAGCTTTGCTTCTATTCCTCTTTATGCAACATAAAATAACAAACAGAGCAACTGCAACTAGAATCACTGTGATTACAGCAGAACCTCCTATGACAAGAATCAATCCAAATTTCCATTTTCTTGAATGATCAAAATTGAGGTCAAGATCCCCTGGAAAGCACGCCAGACAATCCCCTTCTTCAACTGTATCCATAGACAATGTTGAAGATCGAAACCAGAAAGTCTTAAATCGCCAACGACTAATACTGTGAATAGCTGATCCTCCACCATTAGAAGCAGTAAATCCCACATGCATAAATTCTTTAAAATCGCCAGTAAAATCAGCCTGAGCAACAAGAATAGGACTAAGTGGCCTAACCTGAGAATATCCCACCCAAACCCTGATCATCTTCTCCGAATTTCGATACTCAATCCAAGCAGTCATCTCCTTTCCAGCTTTAAGATCAATCCCTCTTGAGACGACGTCAACAGAAGCCAAAGATTTAATTTGTCTCACATCAATGCCAACATGGTTCCCATTTATATCATCAAAAAAGGGATTATAACTCGTGTCAAATTCTACAGCAATGAATGAATCTTGAGTGTTGGAAACTTCTTCCGGGAGGCCCATCCAACCGTCGGTAATGCTTAAAGAATCCATATTGGAAGTGACCAGAAATGCAAGTCCATCTCCAAAAGGGCAAGAAGGGGTGGGGGAAATGTTGAATGAAAAGCTGCAAGAGAATGAAGCAGCAGTGCCTTTGGATGAAGAATCAAGAAACCGAATTGGGTTGATGTAAAAGGCTCGGCCAATGCCTGAAAGAGAGGTGGAAGAAGCTGATTCTAGGGTGGATTGTGATGGCGAAGTGCATTGGTGATCTTGAGTTAGTCTGATTGAATCGTTCTCAACGGATGCATCACCAAAAAGGGTGACATTGTTTGCAGGAAAATAAAGTGGAGCTGAGGAAGAGAAAGATGATGAAGTGTAGACATAGAGAAAAAGAAGATAAGCCCAGATGAGTATGGTTGAAGATGAACGCATTCTGGGAATTTGGAGCTCAAGATTCAAACTTTGATCAAGAAATGGAAAGTTGAGAGTTCTTGGAGGAAGTTTTCTCAAGGATTTTCATGGGTTGATTTTGATCTTGGGAGCTCATGAGAAATGACAGATTGGGTGATTTTTCTCCAATTTACAACCAGGGATTTTGGAGAACGTTGCCAAGAATCAAGAAAGTGAAAAACCCCGTTGATAACTGCAGAAAAAACGAAGAAAAATGAGGTGGGGAGAAGGGGTTGAATCTTGCAAATTGAAATGTGGAGTGGAAAAATATGGCGGGGAAATCAGTTGCAGACTTTGGAGTAACCGGGATATTAGGGAGCGCACAGATTTGGTGTCAGAGGGACTTGGGCTTGTATTGTGGGCTTTTTCTGTTTCGTTTTTCTTTTTTCGTTTTTGTGGATCTGCCTGGTTTCACCTACTAGTAGCAACCTTCTATTGCTATTAACAGGCCTCATTTTTCTGGGTTAAGAAAAAAAATTTCCATTTTTTATTTGTTTTAGGGGGTGCTTCGTTAGTGCTGTCTATTTTTTTTTTAAGGTAAAAAAAAAAAAAGTTAGTAGGTTTGACTCCAATCACCAGTAATAAAAAGAGTTTTCTACTTAAATTGGACTTTACTTTTTTATTGAAATTTATAATCGGAATATGCTTCTGGAACTATAGGTCACCTATGGAGATTCTTAAAAATCGCCTATCAATACAGCTCTCACTTTTTGTAAAGAAGTAACCCGTCCTTACCAATTGAGTCAACTTATGTTGGCAATAACGAAAGATTAATTCAATTAAAATCTGAAAGAATCGTATGCTTCGTTTAGACATTTTCTTAGGTAAACGTAACAGGTTTGCTCAGCACCAAGAAGGTTTCCCCTTCAATGGATTTGCTGTTTTTTTGCAGTAATAACCACATGAAAAGCAATAAAAGGAACCCCTTTCAATAGTTCTCTCAGCGAATGAGCAATGATGAAACAAGCCACGTACAAAACTACAGACATAGAATTTACCCTGTTCAGGGGTGATTCTCTGGTTCTGTGCAGGATGCACAACTTCATGCTTACTAAGTACGTCAAGAAGTAGGCAGTAGGTGTAAGCAGAAACCAGATTGCTTGAAGGAAATCCAATCCAAGGACAAGATTATTACAGATTTTTCCATACATAAAGGATGCGAGGACGAACACATTTTTTTTCCCTGATAGAAGACATAATCATTAACTCAAGAACAATTAGAATTCCGTCTTCCTGTCTCTCTAGTAGGCGTTCAGTTTGTACGAGCTGCTGTAAATTAAGGGTCATATGGGGAATTGTGATGGATACAACAAATTGTTTGAAATGCTTATGACAAACAAAAGCTTAGTTTAAGAACATTTTCAGGTGTCAAAAGACTTTCAGAGGAACTTCATCATCATCCAAGAAAAGCAACCAAATGAATCCAAGAACTTCAGCATTTGAGTTCAACAGAGGTAGCTGGAGTTTTATATTGGAGGAAACAACTGGGATAACAAGAATTTGTATCAAACTGCAACTCAGCCAAGTCCCATCTTGAGGCAGCCACTTAAGATTGCTACAGTGGGTAGCTCCACCTCAATTTTTGTCTCTACCACCACATCACACATGTTGCCCTTCTTGCTGTTGATCCGTCAAATGTTACACTGCCTATGACTAACAACTCATCAAAAAATGAAAAACGTGCAGATGTGTCGAATTACTGCAATATCATTACAGGGGTATAAGACCATTTTGATAGGTGCAGACCAAAAAATGCCAAGCATGAAGATTATGAAGTACCATCAAAACCGCAATTGTAACATAAAATGCAGAAATAATGATGAAAAGCATTAACATCAGAAGATCTTAAACAAGATTACAGGCAAAAGTTTAGAGCGTGTGGAAAAGTGCATTTATTATTGGAAACTGTTTCACCAAGATACTCTCCATGACCAAGCTGAGACATAAGATATAATAAGAACACAGCCATTTAAGTGCTTCTTGAAGATGTTCAAATATAAGATGGACTGTAATTGATTGAGCAACCTTGAACCAAAAACACACATGGGTCCAATCAGATGCTAGACAAATTAATAGTTCTGTATGGTCACCCCCATACTTTCCATGCAACCCACATTCTTGTAAACCATGAGACTTTTATAGTGAGCCATTATCCATCACTCTCCACTTTGTTTCCTCCAAGCAATACAAATATTCCTCTCTTTTTTCAACAGAGGAATCTCACCCTTCTACAGGGGTCTCACATGGCAGAACAATCTCACAAATAAACCTACTGGGCTTAAAAAGACAGCTTGGCACAACAACCTTGCTCAATTCTATTGATTGTTCACTTATCTGTTTTAAAAGGCTTTCATGGTCAGCTCATTCATGTTCTCAGTTCCCACTATTAATCATATTCATGCTCAGCCCTTTGATTTGTTTATAACAACCTTAGCATGATAAGGTTCATGAACCTGAATAAGTCAAATTCGAGCTCATAATTGTTTCAAACTCATACTGTATGTTCTAAAATGCAATTTGAGAAAATAAAAACAACAGAATCAAGTTCAACTTTTGAAAATATGCACACTTTCCAGGCATTAATCATCATAATAAATAAAAATAAGAAAATAAGTAAGATTAACCAACTTTAATTTTTTTCACTTAAATTAACTCACAAAGACTACAATGCTCAGAAAAACTCTTTAGCTCAATTTTTTGCCAGTTAACAATTCTCAATGCAGTTGAATCTATAGGCAATGGGCATAAATATCTCTTCATTATTGGCTCAGTTCAAAAGAAAAGTGTGAAAGCTCCAACACCCCGGGCAATGTCAGAATAATAGTACAGACATTGGACCTTTTATAGGTCAAAGCAGTCATAACATGATTAAGAGATAAAACTGATGCAGGATGTTACAATCTCCTTGTTGTTGCTGATTCAAGTTCACTCACATCATTACAGAATCTGACTCCGAGTAAGTTGTTGATATATTGCTTAGTAACCATACTGATTGACATTTACTTTCTTTAATTGCTCCTCATTGCAGACCTTTAATCCAGCAGATAACCCAAGTCAAGCTTAAGCATGTTTACATGGAATCAAACAGAATGGTGGATTGGTTAGCTAATATGGGAGTGGCATAGGAATTGGATTTTTTTTTTCCTTTTTTCTTGTATTCCTCAACCTGTAGTTAACACATTTTGTATAGATGGAGCACAATGAGATAAATTTCCTTGAATGATTGTAACTGACCTTTGGTTTTTCAATTAATGAACTTCTTTTACCCACCAAAAACAATAAAAGACCGCCTAACACTACTTTTCGTCTTAGCTTTTGGCCTTCCTGAGCCTTGCATATCACCATAACCTGCTCAAGGCAAAAGCGCAGTGACAAAGTGACAAGGAATTTTCAGATCTTAAAGTGAAGCAAAATCATAAACTCAATAGTTCCTACAAATGGCCAGTCTAAGTAAGTTTCTACAAATGCATCTTCTGTCATTGATCTGACCTGCTGACAGAATAGGGTTTCGATTAGTTCCTATAATCAGACACCAAATTAGATGGACTCATACTACAGTTTAACTGACAACTTGCTCCCTTGCTACTGACGAAGGTTTACTTATGCCCCAAATACTAACAAACCAAAATTTTACACAGAAAGAAGAATAGTATAGAAATCACTAGGTACATAAACAGAAGTTCTATTAGAGCAGAAGGACTTTATAAGGTTTGATTCAGGTATTCTTTGTAAAGTATAAAATTTTCGACTAGATATAATGATCTGTAGACTACATGAGATTCAAAAAAATACAAAGAAACAGATACCATAAAGCAGCATCTCTGAAGAGGTCAAGCGTTCTTAAAAAATCAAGCATAAGCAGTTAAGAACCAGAAGAAAGGATGCGTAAATTAATATAATTGGAAATGAAAAGGAGGAATTACCCAGATGCACTTGCAAAGCACCTCGTTGCCACTTTATTCACTCTGATTGACCGTGGATGAAGAATCAAGAGCCATGTTCTGAAGCTCCTTCTGCTTCAAATACTGATGCAAAATTGTGAGCCTAGCTGTCTCAAAGGCAAAGTAACCAATTGCAGAAAAACAGGCACTATGAACAACTCTAGGCCCCATTCCTCGTGTAAACCCTATCCAGCCTTCTTCCTTCAAAATCTGTTTAACAGTAGCTGAGACACCACTATACATTACAGCTGCAACCTTATTCACAGCCTCCCCATGAACCTGAGTCATCAATCTTGTCTTAACCACATCCAAAGGAGTTGTCAGTGAAGCTGATATGGCTCCAGCCAATGCACCACAACAGACACTCTGAAATGGCTCCAAATGAACCTGATGAGTACTATTCAATACCGCAGCTTTAAGATACTCAAACGATGAATAATTCAACACCCCAGCAGGCAAATTTCTCAGCAATGTAGCACTATATCCAGCATACAATCCCAAAATTCCATCTTTTTTCAAAATTTTCAATAAAACCTCCCAAGACCTCCCCTTTGCACCAGTTTGCATCCTCTGAGTAATTAATTCCTTAGGTACCATTATAGCTGATGAAACAATATTCCCCATAGCCCCAGCAGTAGGGGGTATCAAAACAGCTGGATATTGAGGGATTTTCGACAAAACTGACTTTCCAAACTCACATGTCCCAAAATACACAGCAGAAGAAGCCGTAGAACCAACAATCACCGCAGAAACTCCACTATAGAACCCCAAAATTCCCCTGGTTTTGAAGGTCTTAACAATGGCATCAACTGTACCACTATAAATTTCTGATGCCCCCTTTGTCTGGAGCTTAGTCTTGATTGTGTCAAGAGGATGGAGGCAGACATAAGTGAATGCACCAGCAATGCCTCCACCAGCAGCACCCATGAGGGCTTTTTCCAAAACAGAGAGATTCTTGAACAGGGCGTAGACTTGGGGAGAGCCTCTTGAGGCTGGTTTTAGCCAAATTCGAGAAGTGGGGTTTTCTGGGTTTTTGATTTCAGGTTGAATGGAGATTGAAGTCGATGAAAATTGAAGAATCCTTTTTGGGCTGAAATTTTGACCATTTTTTATTTTCTCTGCTTTACATGGGGTATTTGTGAGGCGACGGAGGGATGAGGTGCTGGTGGATAAGAGGGTGGTGTTAAGATTGTTGAAGAGGGTATTGAAATCTTGGAAAGTTGATGAAGTTTGTGAATTTGATGAGAGAAAGCTAAGGGGTTTGCTGGTGCTAATTTCCATTTGTGGGGATTGGTTGCTACCAGAGTTGTTTCATTCAGGTCATAATGCGGTGATGGAGAATACTCGGGAGGCGTTTGGATACTGTGTCAGAAAGCCAGGTGTAGAACCAGCCAAGTAGGTACCAGGTAAAGCAATCTTGAAGCATCTCTTCCAATCACTCAATTTAGAAAATTTTAGAATAAAATCCAAAAACCATCTTTACACGAGACATAATCTATGGATGTGTTTATTTTGTTGAATTGAGGACAACATAGTAACAAGGAAAAGCAACATAGAGATTAGAATGAGTTTGGCCAAGAAATTAGGCTAAAGGCAGTTTATTATGGTGTGAAATGCAGTAATTGATATGTTAATGTGATTTCATTAAAAGAGAAATATATGCAAAACTTTTGTATCGCATTCTTGGATGAAGAGGAAAAAATCCTTCTTTGTTCTGCACTGCACATTTTTTCAATGTATAAAAAGAAAATTGCTGATGTTTGTTAAGATTTTTGTGTGAATTTGCTAACCTATATGATGTAAAACACTAAAAAATCTAGAAGCCCTAAACCATCACTGTTGTCCACTTTTTGCCCGTGATCTAAATTTTATCTCCGACTGAATTTTGAACAAGTAAAAGTGCATAATTTAAGAACTTCTGGCCATTTTAGACGCAAGTCCATCTGGAATTGAAAGGCATTTTTGTCCATCCGTAATCAAAAGCATTGGGAGCAAAATTACAAGAACATAATCATCTCTTTCTCTTAGAGAACCAACGATTTTTCAGGGATTTGTGGACAAATTGATGGTGAGATTAAAAAAATTGAAGGGTTTTCTTTTTTTATTATGATTGACAAAAATGTCCTTCGATTCCATGTGAACTTATATCTAAAATGGTTAGAAGTTCTTAAACTAGAAACCTTTGATTGTTCAAGAATCAATCAGAGACAAAATTTAGATCATGGATCAAAAGTCAACGATGTGATAGTTTAGAGGCTCCCCAGTTTTTTTTTTTTAACTACTCAAACATTGCTAAATTTGAGCAATAAGTCGATGCTAGGAGCCAAGGCGCTGAAATGGAATTGTAGTTTGTTAATCATAGTTCTCATCTTTCCTGCCTCTCTAAACTCTCAATCGGTTAATTGACCAACAGACATAATAAGGCTTAGTGATTGCTCAGGAGTTTCCCTTTTAAGAAAACAAAAATGGAGAAAAAAAATGATATGTGTGTTTTGTGTATAGTTTCTCTAAAACTGATAATCCAATTGAAGAAGATTTTTTCTTTTCATAGCTTGAATTTTTGCTCAATCAACATAGAAGGCGGAGGAAGTTGCTCCGGTAGACATCTGGTGCTTTACTAATAATCCTTTCTACTTAATAAGAATTTCTTATCATAATCACCCTCCTGATTAAGTTCTACATGTTTCAGCATTTTCTACTCTCAGTTTATTGGATGCCTTGTAAATTTCTTCTAGAGTTCATTTTTGTCTCTGTTTTTCGTTTGAAATTCCCCAATTGGATCACATTGTTGCCTGTTCAGAAGGAAGACTTAGCCCAATCTTGTCACGTCCAATAACAAAATCAGCTTCATTCTTGTTCTTTTTGTACATAAACAAAGAGGCCCAATCTAGTATTTCTACCAACTAGATAAGAGAACAATTGGAGTTCTCAATTGAATGCCAAGTGTCACTATATTGTTAGAGAAAGGAGTTTTTTTCCTGGTTTTTTCTACCAAAAAGTGAGAAATGTCTATTTCAGGCATGGTCTTCAAATTCAATGTCTTAATAGTTCCTTACTATTTAGGGGCTAATTGGTAACAATGGTTTAGTTATTTGCATTTGTTCCTTTTGTTTGGTTTTTAATTGATGTGAAAGGTCAATTGAATGCTTTTATGAAAACTAACTCATTAAATAGTTGCTAACTATTTAGGGTTATTTTTGTATTTTTGAAAATATTTCTTTTATAATTTTCTGATCAAGTGCAAATAATTGTAAACTATTTGTGGGCCCTTTTATCACATGGGCTGTTTTGAATTAGATTATATGATTCATTATATAATTAATATAAATTAATGGAGTTATGCCCGTTAGAAGTAATGTGCTTAGCCGTTAGTATATGACTGATGACTGATGTTGAAGTTAGTCAACAGCGAGAACAATTGGAGTTCTCAATTGAATGCCAAGTGTCACTATATTGTTAGAGAAAGGAGTTTTTTTCCTGGTTTTTTCTACCAAAAAGTGAGAAATGTCTATTTCAGGCATGGTCTTCAAATTCAATGTCTTAATAGTTCCTTACTATTTAGGGGCTAATTGGTAACAATGGTTTAGTTATTTGCATTTGTTCCTTTTGTTTGGTTTTTAATTGATGTGAAAGGTCAATTGAATGCTTTTATGAAAACTAACTCATTAAATAGTTGCTAACTATTTAGGGTTATTTTTGTATTTTTGAAAATATTTCTTTTATAATTTTCTGATCAAGTGCAAATAATTGTAAACTATTTGTGGGCCCTTTTATCACATGGGCTGTTTTGAATTAGATTATATGATTCATTATATAATTAATATAAATTAATGGAGTTATGCCCGTTAGAAGTAATGTGCTTAGCCGTTAGTATATGACTGATGACTGATGTTGAAGTTAGTCAACAGCACCTTAATTGTCTTATTACTTAGGGTAAACAACAAAAAAGCCCCCTGTGGTTAAGCAATCATACATAAAAGCCCCCTGTGGTTTCATATCATACCAGTCGATACCCCGTGGTTTGAATTAACCTGAAAAGTGGACGGAAATCGGCAAAACAGACGGAGCTGAGTGAATAGACGAAAATACCCTTTTGAAGAACGCAGCTTGCATGTAAATTTTTTTTTTTTTTTAAGTAATTTGTTAAATAGCCTGCCTGAAACCCGCTTGCGGGTTTCCCCCTTATGTAAAATGACTAAAAGCTGCGTTTCTGTTCTATTTATATCAAACACATACTCTCAAACCCTCACCTGAAGGGTGAGAATGAGAGGGGAGGTTTGCTGGGCATCCTAGGGCCCTCCGATGGGCATGTGCAACTCAACGCAGCTTGCATGTAAAAAAAAAATTTTTTTTTAAAGTAATTTGTTAAATAGCCTGAAACCCGCTTGCGGGTTTCCCTCTTTTTTTTTAAAAAAAAAAATAAATTCTATGCTAAAATGACTTAAAACAAAAATAAAAGACTAAAAGTAAATAAAAACTAGCATGAAAAATAAAAATAACAGTAAATAAAAATACACTAAAAATTTGGTGTCTACAGTAGTTAATGAATAATCTGGAAACAGATTGAATGAAAACTCAGAAGAAACGGAAGCTGGTCTCTTATTATTAAAGAGTGAAGGCTAAAATAGGCATATCAGGTGAAAGTTTGTGGTGGAAATCTGTTTTTCGCATATGCACGCGCCTTTGCAGTTCGTTTAAGACACACGCCGAATATTTGACGATTTCCGTCCACTTTTCAGGTTAATTCAAACCACGGGGTATCGACTGGTATGATATGAAACCACAAGGGGTTTTTATGAATGATTGCCTAACCACAGGGGGCTTTTTTGTTGTTTACCCTATTACTTATTGAACTTCCTTCTTTCTTCATTTACCCAGAATTCCCTTCCCCTTCTTTTCTGTCGAATAGCCTTTTTCTTTCTCTCGATCGAATAGGCCGCTATACTATATCGGCCTGCAAAATTTTCAGTTTCTTACCGAATCCTTCAACAACTAATTGTCCTTCAATTTGATTTCGACCCAGAAAATCCTCCACACGCACGTGAATTTTTGGCCTGCCCCAAAAATTAGGTCAGTAAAATTCCTTTTCCCCAAAATCTACGGCCCTGCAAAATCTTCGATTTTCTGTCAATTCCTCGAGCAATTAACTGTACTTCCTTTCGATTGTCTCTAAAAAAGTCGCCCAATTGACGTCAATTCTTCTTTTGCCCCAAAAAACAGTTCACTGATATCTTTTTTTCCCCAAAATCAGCTCATTTTAGGGATGCCTGTTCTACCGACGTATGCTATGATGCAGCTTTCAAAATTTACTATTCCCAGTCCTATATATACTTTTGTTCCTCAGTTTTGCCGGTCTTCAGCAGACGACCGAAGAAAATCTAGGTATTTTCTATTCTGTGTCTTTTTATTTCAACCTGCAATTTTTTAGTTTGATGAATGTTCTTACCTTCTGTTCATTTATTGCCTTCCGTTAATTAAAGACTGCCATGTCTTTTATTTTATGCATAAAAGAATAATTATGATGCTAATTTTTCGATTAGCTTACGTTTACTTTTTCCTCTGTTTTTATATTAATTTCAAATGCTGCCGGACTTTTGCAAACATTCAGGCGAGCAAAGAAAATATAGGTATGTTTCTGTTTTCTCACCTTCTGATTTGAACTGCAATTTTTTCCCATTGTTGTTGCCTCTGTTTATTGCTTTCTTTTAATTATTATAAGAAATGCGATGTGTTTGATGTTATGCTATGATGGTTTACTTTTGCCTCTGTTTTTAATTTCAAATGTTGCATGATGCTGTTAGCTGTTTATCTATTCAATAATTACATCATTTAGTATCATTGTACTTCGGGTTATTAAGGATGTCATTTTATATATATTAGTTAGTTTTAGCTATTCTAGGATGCTTTGATTCTATCATTTTGTGTACCTTTGGTTTAGTATCTTGCTTTATTTATAGTAAAATTAGATTTTGATCTTCTGTGTTTCAAAATGAAGAAAAAAAGAAAATTTAGTTCAGGTTTTAGATTGATAGATGAGATGTTTGATGATTCCCTTGATTTAGCAATGTTGGAAAGAAACAAAAGGAGAAACTTAAATATGCTGACTGAGCATATGAAGTTTACTCTTGATTCTTCTGTTTCTCAACCATATTCTCCTATTGTAATCAACTGTGAGAATGACATCCGTGAAAAGCACTCTGTTGAAACATGTGCTTCACAAAATCACATCGATAGGAAGCCTATTTAAACCCCCTAATATGTAACTGTGGGTTGAACTGAAGTGTGTGTTTTGCTAAGACATGAATGTTTGAGTTTATGTAATCTATGGTTGTGATTTGCATATTCATTATTTACCTCTTCATTTTTCAGTTG